AAACGTCAATCCCAGCTGCCCCCTCCCCTTTGCAGGAGGAGGTGTGTGTGTGACTTTAAGGGCCTGGCCCACAGGGTAACCCGGGCAGCTCCTGGGCCTGCGGTGGGGAGCCTGGGAGAGATCTGAGCCGCACTGATTGGCTGCATGACAAAAGCTCAGCAGACAGAATGTTCTTCAGATTTCAGTCTTCTGTTTGCTTAGCAGTAAATCCAGCCAGTGCTTATCTTTTGGGATGGAAAATAGAAAGGAACGTTATGGCCTCTTCTGTCCTTTCTGGCTCCAGCTGTCTGGGTCCTTACAGAAGAAGCATGAACAGCAGCGACCCCTGAGCAGACACTGGTCTGCAGTGCTGCAGAAGGGAGCGTGTTGGGGCTGGTCGGCTCCCTGCGCAGTGGTAGTGGAGGAACCACTTCTAGAGAAACGTGGTCCAGGGGGTGGAGGATGTGCTTCCCGTCTCCCAGTCTCCCCGTCTGTTCTGCACTGAAGGGAGAACCTCGCTGTTGGGAGCGGCCTCTGCCCACGAGGCCCGTAGTCCCCATACCGGAGAATGACTGAGAGAGACTCCGTGCTGGCAGCCCCAGGCCCACCACCTCTCCCCACAAGCCTCCCGCGCCTGCACCTCCTCCTCACGCAGGGCGCAGCCATTGCCCGTGCCTCTCCTGCGCACGGTGGCGCCGTGGCTGGCCTGCAGTAGCCCGTGGGTGCCTTCACTTTGTTCGTGGTGACACTGCAACTCCGTGCATTCACAGGGACACGGCTAGCCCTCGCCCGGCAACCCCAGCACGCCCCTCATGGCTGTGCCCATGAGACAGTTTCTGGAACCTCCTGCCTGGTCCTCTGGCCGGCGGTGTGCAAACTGGTTTACCGAACTGTGTCTGGGACGTACGGATTTAAATTGGTTAATTAAACCTGCGGGTTTTCTTGTTTTGTTTTTTTGACAATTGCAGATCACTATACTGATAAATGACTTCTGAAACTAGAGAAGTTGGTTTCCCACAGCGCGAAGTTCCACGTGTGAGTTTGGTCTGAATTACCTCTGAGTCTCTGAGGTGGGGTTTTCCAACCTTCTTCTCAGGTCTTGGTCTCCATTCATTGTGAGATTCTTACACAATTTTAACATGTAAGGCCAGTTCGCTAGGACTTACTGTGGTATGCTGGGTCCTGTGGCGCGAGGATGAATAAGCTGCGTCTGCCCTCAAGGAGCTCATAGACTGGCGGGAGGAAACTGCCCCTGTTGCTCCAGAAGGAAATGATGTGATAGTGTGTGTGTGTGTGTGTGTGTGTGTAGTGCAAAGTGGCAGACAGATCACAGAGAGGGGAGCGGTTAATTGACAGGTGATTGGAAGGTTGAATGTTGAGAGGATGGGAAGAGTGTTGGAATTAAGTGGAACAAATACATTAGGTGACCTTAACCTTGACATTGAGGGGCATAGACATTTGCCAGAAGGAGAAGAAAGGAAGAACATTTCCAATCAAGTGCAATAGGAAAGACAATAGCTCACAGAACAGGAAACTGCAATGGCCCATAAACAAGAAATGGACACTCAAACTCATGAATAATTAGAGAAATGCAAATTCAAACAACAAGTAGATAACATTTCCCGCTCTGGAGATTGGCAAAAACAAAATTGGCACTACTAAGTGCTGGAGACAGGGAGAAACAGATTCTCTCGCTCGCCTGGTAAGCATGTACGTTGCCACAATCCCTTTGGAGAGCAGCTTTGTCGTATCTAATGAGGTTTAAAAATGTACTCACCCTGTGGCCCACTCATTCTGTTCTAAAGAAACATGCTCACTTGCTTAAGGACCAGTTATAAAGGAGATACTTGGAGATAAACCCAAATGTCCTTTTTTAGAAAAACAGAGAAGTAACAGTCTATTTGTACTGTGAAATACTACACAACATTTAAAATGAATAAATCAGCTTGGGTAAATTTTGCACACTTGTTAACTGGGTAAGGAAAATAGGTTGTGGAACAGAATCTACTCTTTGTCATTAATGTAAGCTTTAAAATACACATCAGTGTTTGTTAAATCTACATTCGTACACATACGCTGAGTCAGTGGAAGGATAAGGACCCGGGTGGGAAGAACACGAAACCACTTGAGAATGGGGAAGGGAGAGAGGGAAGCGAGTTGAGGAGGAGGAGGAGGTGGGGGGGTGGTAAGACCAGCTGTTAAAGTTAGAGGAGGGGGTACGTATGTTTTGTAATTTCCAATATTTCCCCGTGGTTTTCATTAAACAGTAACGCATGGCACGCAACCAAGCCGTCTCTGAGAGGCTCTGTTATTGCTTCCATGTCAGTCTGGGCCAAGGCCAAGGCCACTCCCTGGGCCGCCCTGGCTTCACCTCTGTACATCGGGCCTCATCTCCCACCGGCTGCAAGGCCGAGGGAACGGAGGGAGGTCAGGAGACCTCCAGGATTCTGTCCGCTGCAGCCTGACTTACTCCAGAACCATCAGTAGATGGGTTGGCCTTTGTCATGGGCACGCTCCCATGTGTCCAACCCTCTCCTGACGTGCCCCCCCACCCCCGACGGTGCTGCCCAGGATGGAGACGTGGCTCCCTGTGCACCACACACTCCCTGGGGCCCCCGGCCGGGTGGCCAGCCGCGCTGTGCGAGTGCTGCGGAGCGTTTTCTGAACCTCGCTGGAAACAGCGCTTCTATGTTGCAAGATGCCCCCAAACTAATGTAATAGGTAGCTGCAGAGAAGAGTGCTGTGGAAGGCCGTAATTTGATTTAGTTATCTCCAGCAATCAGAGATTGTTGAACACCCGAAATAGCTGATTAGAACAGCTGCTACAACAACACTCTGTGTGGGAGCGATGCAAGATGCGGTATTTTGACAGCCGTTTCAGACGTATGAGTAATAGGACTTCTAAGAAAATCCCGATCGCGGCCTCTTTTTGGAGTCTCCCAGCCAGATTTCCCCTCTCCTGGTGCTGGGTGTGCAGAGGACGTGGGGGGGGGGCACCTCCTCCTCCCCAGCGTTCTGACCTCTTGCATTCCTAGAGGTTGGGTGGCACAGCAATAAAGAATTATTTTGGTTTTCAAAAAATATCTAACTTCTACAAACTGGTAGCTACAGAATAGTCCCGGGGATGTCGAGTGTAGCCTAGGGAATGTAATCACTAATATTCTAATAACTGCCTCTGGTGCCAGGTGGGTACTAGACCTATCGGGGGGACCTCGTAAATCATATGTCTAACCACTCTTCTGTACACCTGAACTAAATCAATGAATGTTGACGGTCAACGGTCACTGAAAAATAATAGCTAACTCCTGCATTCATCAAACATGGGATCAGAACTCACCGTGCTCCGAGCCAAGTTCGGGGCTCGGGAGTGGGCGTGGCCAGCCCATTCTGAGTCCCCGCCCCTCCTGTCCGTCTCAGTGTGGCGCCTTCTCTGCGTCCTGGCCTGTAGGGCTTCCCTTCTGCCCCATTCCAGGCGGTTCTCAAGGGTGGCGGTTCTGCAGTTCAGCTGTGGTTGTGGGAGGAGGCGAGTGCCGTGCTTGCCCGTGCCACCACGCTGGCCGGAAGCCCCTGAAGGTGGACTTTAATGGGGGACATTTGTGGTGATCAAGATGTGCAGGTCGACTGGACCTTTTCGGAGGTCTTCCCTCGTCGGTGTTACGGAGTACAGGAGCCCAGTGAGGCATTCGGGAGGGAAAAGCTGCGGCTCGGGGAGCTGGGCTTGAAAGGTGGGCCGTGGCAGAGGCGAGGGTGGAGAATTCTGGCGCCAGGTCTGCCTCTGTCGGTTGCTGCGCCCAGAGAGCCGCACTTTCCCTTGGACGACCTGTATCTCCCAGGACGCCATCCTCCGAGGCTCATTGAATCACCTAAGCCAATCCTCAGCGGCACCTCCCTGATCCCAGACTGAAGTCTGTGCCTCTTAGAACCGGCCCATGGGACACTTCCAGTGTGGGGGGCACGTTATTCCCCCCGTGTGGTTGAAGCAGAAGTGGGAAGTGTTAGAAACACCCAGGTACCGTGGGGGATGCATGTGTACTTCTAGCCGACACAAGAGGAAGTCCGGTTCCGCTGGCACTCACCTGCTTTTCCTGGAACACACTTTTCCGCCTGTAGGTAAGCGAAGTGTCACTAGAGGTCTTTGCAGAAAACCTGAGTCACAGAAAACAGAGATGCCCACGTGGGTGGCCTTGTGTGGAAATCTGTCTCTCGGAAGCCTCTGCAGGCTCTAGGGATTTTATTCTTCGTGTACTTCATACAGTCCAGCGCAAACCAATGCCTTTGCTTCCACTTCGGCCGAAAGTTGTTTTTGCTGGTGTGCTTCGGTCAGGTCACGGTCACTGTGGTTGGGAGTAAACCTAAGTGGGTTCCTGTCCTTGGACGAAGACCAGGGACAACTGTAGGACCTCCCCCTGTTAACCGCCTTCGGGGTTCTTGATTAACAAGCGTGGTTCCGAAAGGCAAGTGCTCCTACGGTCACCCTTCACAACCGAGGCAGTGCAAGCAGCGAGAAGTTAAATGGCCTGTCCACACCACAGAGCTGGTTGCAACAGAGTCCGAGCCGGAACTGAGCTCTTCTGGACTCTGGTGGACGCATCCGTAGCTCTGTCCCTGACCGCAGACTGCCACCAGAAGGTGGTGAATTGCAATGGCATGGTGCATTTCAAGGTGTCATTCGGTGTGGTCAGAACCAACCCTCAACAGGACACATCAAGAGATGGTGGTGGTGACAGTTTCAGAAAAACGTGTGGTTCGGATTCAGCAGACCTTCTCGAAAAGCCTGCTAGGGGGGCAGGCGCTGAGCTGGGCGCCCCGGGCTGCGCCGTTTATTTCCCGTGGGGCCAAGCCAGGGAGGCCGGGGGCCTTCCGCCCTCCCTGCCGCACCTCAGGCACCACCAGTTCCGTCCCCAGGGCACCCTTCGTACGCATGCACTCCAAGTGGAGGTCAGAGTGGAGTGCCCACCCTGCCCCCGGAACGGGAAGGCACTGAGCACCCTTACCCATCTCTCCCTCCTTCCTGCCCCTAGGCCTCCTGGTGGGTACCCTGGATGTCGTGTTGGACTCCAGCGCCCGGGTCGCTCCCTTCCGAATCCTGTACCAGACTCCAGACTCTCTGGTCTACTGGACCATCGCCTGTGGTAAGTAGCAGTGCTTGGGATTACAGAGACACGTTGCCATGAACGATGTTCCATTAAGAGGGAAGGAGCGTTTATTGGTGGAACGCAGTCCCTTGGTTTTTTAGGGCAGGTGACCATCGCTATTTCAACAGATGCACCCCCAAATCTCAATGGCTTAACACCAGAAGCGGGGGTTTCTTTCTCACTCTGACCAAGTCTTGTTTGGGTCCTGTGGCTTCTTCCCTCGGTCGTGACACCCTCTGGGGCACAAAGCCTCCAGGGCCAGCCCACAGGGGACAAGTGGGAGGTGGAGGCGCACCTGTGTTTACCTCCCTTGGCCCAGAGGTGTCACTGCATTGTCACTCCACTGGCTAGAACGAGCCCCGTGGCCCCAAGGTCACTTCAGAGGAAGCTGGGAAAGGAGGAGGAACACACAGAATATTTGGGCGGGACTAAGTAAGGCTTATGCTCCTAGCACAGGACTTCCTCCTGAGGAGGGATTGGTGCCTTCCCCTGCTGATACTCTGTGACACTGCGCTGTGCTCGACAGGGTGGCAAACGATCGTGCTGCCATCGGATCTCTTCCCGGGAACGGCTACCCCGAAGTGGCCAGGATTGTCTTCGTCATTTGTTTGCGTGTGGCTTTCCAAATAACTATAGAAAAAGCAATGGCATGGAACGAACTTTCTTTTTTTTTCTCCACTTCATTTTTTGTTATTAATAGTTTTTATTATTTTTAGAGCACTTTGAGATTTACAGAAACGTTGAACGGGTAGCTTGCAGAGCTCTCCCGAGTCCCCTCCCCATCCATACCTGGCTTCCCGTATTATTCACACCTGAGTATGGAGCGCTTGTTCCAGTGAATGAGCTGATAGGGAGACACTGTTACTACGTCCATCGTTTATTTAGGTTTCCTTAGTTTCTACCTGAAGTCTTTTTTTCTGTTCGAGGAGCTCATCGGGCACGCTAATTGTCTCTCTTTAGGCTCCTCTAGGCTGTGGAAGTCTTTCAGATTTTCCTCGTTTCTGACGACCCCGCCAGGATGCTGGTCAGGTGTAGTGGAGAATGTTGTTTCACTGGAATTCTATGTTTATTGCGGGATTAGGCTGGGGGTGGGTTCTCGTGAGGACGATCACAGGCCCCATACTATCGACTTGATTTACGACTGATCAAGATCATGTCCTCCCTGGCCTGCTTGATGTAGTGTTATTTGAGTTTCTTTACTGTCAAGTTATTTTTTTCTTCTCTTCCCATATTGTCCTCTTTGGGAGGAAGTCACTGTGCACAGCCCACACTTAAAGAGTGGGGAGTTTTAGTTTATTCAGCTATTTTTGTCACTGTGGAATCATGAACATTTGTTCTGTACTTGAGCGGGGGCTCCTAGTACAACTTTATGTATTTTGTTGCTCAAATCATTGCAGCTTTGGCCACTGGGAGCTCTTTTAGTTGACTTCATTCAATTTTTAGATTGATCTCTGCTTGGTAGGAGGTGCTATGCTGGTATCTAAAGATGTGAAGGTAATTAGATCCGGTCTTGGCTCTTGAGAACAAGAGTAAGTGCTCAGCCGAGGCCCAGTGGGGGCAAGATCCGTGCAGTGCCATTTGATTGTGGGGCTCCTGGCCACACCCCAGAACCTTGGCCGGCCTTCTGCATAGGTAGGGGGAGTTATCTGGCTGTGATTTCAGGCTGCTGGAGGGCTCGAGTGTCCTAGTAGTGTCCCCTTGAGGATTCCACAGCACCCGAAATTAGTCGTATCCCGTATTTAATGTTATCCTGGCTGAGATGCCAAGAGCCCCACGAGAAACAGTGGGTATATCAGTCACTGTGCTTCCTGGTGAATGGAGGGATGACATCGGGGTTCGGGGCAGGGAGAAAAACACCTGGAGTGAAGGGTAGGGACTGGGGCGAGAGGGAGGGGCAAAGGCAGAGGGGAGCTGGGACCCCGAACGAGACAGCCTTGGCTGTGTGCCAGCCCTCTGCACGGTTCCTTCCGTTCACAAAGTGAAACACTTGGTTGCTACTGTGCAAGGGAAAGCACCCTGTGCTGGTTGGTTGGGAAAAGTATCCCATTTAGTTGGCAAGCTATCTAGAATAGTGTTAGACTAGACATTGTAGCCAGCAAGTGAAGACATGAAAAGAAAGGAAATTAGAAATCAGAGCCACTAAATCGCTCGGTGGCTCAACAGGGGTGTGGAAGGGACACTGATACATTGTTGCTCTCCATCCACCACTTGTGCCCAGAGGTTTTCGAGGTCCTCTGGGCTCTGGAGCTGCCCTGATTTCCCCGCCCTCCTCTCAGCTCCTGGCTGCCCCTGGCGAGTGTACACGGACGAGGATGTCACAGCTGGTTTGTGCCTCTGGGACTGCCGTTCTTCTAGCCCCTCAGCCCTCACCTTCCTTCCCCCCTGCTGCCTGACGTTACTACTCCTCCGCCCACTTCTGGGACTTCGCCGTTCTGCAAAGCCGACCCTGCGTGCGCTCCCTTGGGAAGGAGCCCAGAGCTCCAAAGCTGAGTTACTCCTCCGTGGTTTGCTGAGCTGAGGCTCAGGAGCACAAGGCAGTAAAGGCAGATGGCATAATTTATGCCACCAAGAGATGCACTTTGGTTTTCACATTAAGTACCGCCTGTCATAACTGCATGATCTCATTATAATAAACCCAGAACCGGTTTCGCTTCTGAATCTATCGATTGCCCATACGCATAGCTCCAGAATTTCCTGTGGAAGGCTCCACGGAAGTGACGGCCGTTGTGAAAGTCCCGTTCACCCATTAGTTGTTATCGATTTCCGTTTCAGCCCCGATTGCTGGCTCCCTTTCCTGAGAAGGTTTTAAGAGCGGAAGCTGTTACCTCAAAGAGTTCGTTGATGTGCTGACCCTTCGGCTTGTCGCTTTCACGTTGTTTTTCTCATGAACTACACAGTTAGCATTTGGTGGGGCACTCTATGGGGAGCTTTATGTATTTTCTTGAATTGCACGACTCATCGTAGGAGAGGCCCTCAGCACAGAAGCGGTGAGTCTCACCCACTGCCCCGTGGGACACAGAGGGCTCCCCAGCCTGGTTCCCTGCCGCGTTTTCTGAACCCTCCGCAGGTGGGAACTGAGTTAAAGGGGGCGCCTGGGAGCAGTGTCCTCACTGAGACCACGTTCTGGAGAAGAACCTCGTGGCCTTCGTGGGGAACCCTAGGCACGTGGTTTGACTTAGACCCGAGCCTCGGGGAGACGAGGAGGTGGAGGCCTGTGGACCTGCCTCTCTCGCCGCTCATGGAATAACGGGCCGACCCTGGGCGATGTGAGCGGTACAGAACAGGAGTGGGGAGAGCAAGCTATGTGGTGAGACATTCTTTTCCTGTGCTTCTTCGTGTTACCTTCTGACTGCCTGTGCCCGGATGAGTTTGAAGAAGTTGATTGTTTGCATTTCCTCGACACGGAGACCTTCCTGTGTCGTAATGACTCTTTTCCCCACTGCCCCAAAGGAGGCCTCGTGAACTGTAGCGTGCTCAGTGGTTTGTGCAGCAAATGATCCTTCTCACCGTGAAGAGCATGGAGGAAGCTGCACTGCAGGACTTTGTGCAGCCCGCTTCGTGGAGCTGGTCCTGCGCCGACAGTCCCACCCCTCCCCCGAGACTCAGTGGCCTGACAGCTTTGCACCTGGGGCGGGAGGTTCACCAGAGAACCGAACAGCTGCAGGTCTCCCCCGGCGGCCGGTGTTTGGGACTCAAAGCCCCGGAGGCAGGAGAGAGCCCGTCCTTCACCCTCCTCGGCCTTTAGTAGGCTGAAGTGAAAGGCAGCCCCCTTGGCTGTCCCCGTTAGGAGGACTAGAGGTCCTACCAGAGAGCGGACGGAGTGAGGAGTGTTACGCAGCCTCAGTGAACACGTGGGCACACGCCCATTGTCTGAAGAGGTGCCCTGGGACAGCTGGGGAGGGAGGTACGAACAGAAGGACAGAGGAGCTGTTGACAGTTCCCTCTGGGGACGTCTGGCCTTCCCACGGGCCTGGTCAGGAAATGGCATCGTGGGGACGTGTTTGGCGGACACCTCACTGACCACACAGCGGGGCCTTGGCTGCCCTCTGATTCAGTTCCCCTCCTCTTTCCCGTGCCAGAGGCTCCTCTGGGCCCGGGCGGTGGTTGGTCTCAGAGCTGTCAGTCACGTCAGCCTCCACCCCACTCCCTGCCCTTAGCTGAGCAGGGCCCAGGTCAGCCTGAGCTGCCCAGGTTCTCACAGGCAGGTGGCCACGGGCAGGGTGCTGCTCGGGGCTGAGACCACTCTCTCGAGCTCCCCTGCTCCAGCCAGCGCGTTTTGAGCAGCACCAAGCTGGTAGTGTTCAAGATTAAACACCCTTTCACTCAGCAGCTGGTCAGGCCCAGGACTTAATTAAAGGCTGCTCATTGGCTCCGCTTCTGCTGTTCCTCTACAGCAAGGGGGTCACACTCATGTCCACGGGGGGCCACGTCAGCCTCGCGGTTGCCTTCCAAGGGCTGCATGTAATTTCAACTCCTTCACAGTTAAGGAGCAGTTACAGTTATACACAGTCCTAAAATTATTTCAGCCCTTGGAAGGCAACCGCGAGGCTGATGTGGCCCCCCGCCCCGTGAACATGAGTTCGACACCCCTGCTCTGCTGTAGCTGGAGAAAACGTGGGGCGGTTCAGTTGCCTCCCGTCTGAGATGCACGATGTGAAGCGTGGTCAGTATTCGATCACCCTTCCTCGGTCTGTGGGCCTCAAGAGCTAGTCCTGGATCCTTTAAGGAGCAGCTTAAAAAAAACAAAAAAAAGGAACTTGCCTTTTCTCTTTAAGCAGTACATGCTCTTTGCAGAAAATTAGAAAATATAGATAAAAAGAATAAAAAATGAAGAAATAATACCACATTACAAATCACATTCCAGACTTTATATTATATAAAATGTATCTATACACTCAGGTTTGGGCAAAAGTAGGTTTGCAGTTATGAGTACATGAAACAGTTTATTCGTGTATTATTCCGTATTAATTATTACATCATTTTCACACGAACAACTG